TCTCCATACTCTCCGCGCTCTCTCCGTGCTCTCCGCGCTCCGGCCGGGCTCTCACGGTGCTCTCCCCGCGCAGTCCCGGAGCTGGCGGCCCGCGGCGTCATCCAGCAGGTCTTCCCGCTGCACGAGCAGAGGATCCTCAAGCGCCTCATGAAGTCCTGGGTGCAGGCGGTGTGCGAGGCCCAGCCGCTCGGTAGGCGCCGAACGGGGACACCGGCACCTCGGGGGGCACTGGGGGGGTCCCTGTCTCACTCATGTTCCCACCGCCCCCAGACGAGATCTGTGACTACTTCGGCGTGAAGATCGCCATGTACTTCGCCTGGCTGGGCTTCTACACCTCGGCCATGGTGTATCCTGCCGTCTTCGGCTCCATCCTCTACACCTTCACCGAGAGCGACCAGGTGCGGCAGCGCCGGGGTCGGCGGGCCACGACCGGGATGGGGGGTTCCGTCCTTCTCTCCGGGTTTTCCCTGCTCTGGTCCACTCCAAAAAGCGGGAGCCACTGCGTCCTATTGGGCGGATAGGCCACCCTGGAGATGAGGAGGAGGATGCAGATGGGGGATGAGGAGGAGGATGCAGATAGGGGATGAGGAGGAGGATGCAGATKGGGGATGAGAAGAAGGATGAAGATGCAGATGGGAGATGAGGAGGAGGATGAGGATGCAGATGGGGATGGGGACAAGGATGGAGATGAGGATGGGGACAGGGCTGGGRATRGGAGCGTTGGCCTCCCCCCGCAGACCAGCCAGGACGTTTGCTGCGTGGTCTTCGCCATCTTCAACGTGATCTGGGCCACGCTCTTCCTGGAGGAGTGGAAGCGCCGCGGCGCCGAGTTCGCCTACAAGTGGGGCACGCTGGACACGCCGGCCGAGTCCATCGAGGAGCCGCGGCCCCAGTTCAGGGTGAGCGCCGCGGGCCGGGCTCCGCGCTGAGAACCGGCCGCTCGTGACACGCGCGGGCGCAGAGCTGCTCTGCTGGGGGCTGCGCTTGGGATGGGGGGGCGCGAGGGACCCCCCGTGTCCCTAACCCCAAAAGAGGGGTCACGTGCCGCTGTCCCCCCATTTAGGGCATCAAGAGGATCAGCCCCGTGACGAGCGCGGAGGAGTTTTACTACCCGCCCTGGAAGCGGCTGCTCTTCCAGTGCCTCGTGAGCCTCCCCGTCTGCCTCTCCTGCCTCTCCTTCGTCTTCCTCATCATGCTGGGCTGCTTCCAGCTCCAGGTGGGTGTCTCTGTCCCAGTGCCCCGCGGGCGGCCGGCGCGGGGGACGCGGTGACACGATGTGGCTGCTGTCAGGGGCCGCGGTGTCACCGCCGCCGCTGTCCCGCAGGAGTTCGTGCTGAGCATCCAGGAGCTGCCGCGCGTGCTGCGCTTCGTGCCCAAGGTGGTGCTGGCGCTCGTGGTGGCCGGCTGCGACGAGGTCTACAAGAAGATCGCCTGCTGGCTCAACGACATGGGTGCGCGACGGGGGGCGGCGCCGCGGGCCGCCCCCGGCCACGCTCACCCGCTCCCTTCCCCGGCAGAAAACTACCGGCTGCAGAGCGCCTACGAGAAACACCTCATCATCAAGATGGTCCTGGTGAGCGGCTGGGGACACCGGGGACACCGGGGACACTGGGGACACCGGGGACACTGGGAACACTGGCGCTTGGGGGATGCTGGGATACTGGGGACACCAGGGACATGGGCACTTTGGGGACATTGGAGATGGCAGGGACACCATGGGATGCCAAAGACACTGAGGACACCAGGGATGCTTGAGATGCTGGGGGCACTGGGGACACTCGGGACATCAGCGACACTGGGGACAATGGGGTTCTGGGGGATGCTGGGGACACCAGGGAYATGGGGACACTGGGGATGCCAGGGACACTGTGGGACACCACAGACATGGGGACACCAGGGATGCTTGAGATGCTGGGGGCGCCGGGGACACTGGGGCTGTTTGGGGTGCTGGGGACACGGGGAGCACCGCGCGCCCGGGCACACGGAGGCCGCGGGGCCGCCCGCGCTGACGCCAGCCCCTCCCCGGCAGTTCCAGTTTGTAAATTCCTACCTGAGTCTTTTCTACATCGGTTTCTACCTCAAGGACATGGAGCGGCTGAAGGAGGTAACGGGGGGCCGGGGACAGGGACCCCCTAGCGCCGCCGCCGCCGCCGCTCTTCACGCGCTCTCTCTCTGTCTGTCTCTGTCCGTCCTGTCCCTCTCCACAGCTCCTGCTCATCTTCTCTCTCTCCCAAAGCCTCGTGCGTCAGCTCAAAGAGGCCCTTCTCCCCTTCATCTTCCTCCACCTCCACCTCTCCCTCATCTTCCTTAAGGGCCTCCTGGGCTTTTGCTGGAGACTGGGAGTATCCAAAGTAGGAGCGGGGAGGGTGGTGGCGCGGGCCGGGGAGCGGGGCGGCGCGCAGCGCGTGCGGGTGGCCGCCGCGGTGACGCGCGTCCCGTCCCGTCCCCGCGCAGACACTGGCCACGCTGCTCGTCACGCGGCAGCTGGTGCAGAACGTGCGGGAGGCGGCGCAGCCCCACGTGAGCGGGCGGCTGCGGCGCGGGGCGCTGGGCCTGGCCGCCCTGCGGCGCCTCTCGCACGCGGCGCTGCGCCTGCTGCCGCCGCGCGCGCCCGGCGCCGCCGCCGCCGCCACCACCACCTGCCTCAACGGCGGCTGCGGCGTCCCCGAGGACGACGACGAGGACGACGAGGAGGAGGAGGAGGAGGAGGCGCGCGGCGCGGGCGGCGAGGGCGCGCTCGACTGCGGCCTCAGGCTGAAGAAGGTGAGCTTCGCGGAGCGGCGCGGCGCCGCCGGCGCCCACGGCTTCCTGGAGGAGGGCAGCCCCACCATGGTGGAGCGCGGCGCGGACCCCGCCTGCGTCTTCGAGCTCGCCGACGACGACGACGAGGAGGAGGCCGAAGGCGCCCCCGGCAGCCCCGCCAAGGCGGCCGAGCCGGCGGYCACCCCGCGCAGGAGGAGGGCGGCCGAGGAGGAGGAGGAGGCGGCGGCGGGCGAGGAGGAAGGCAGGAGGCAGAACCGGGCCTCGTGGATCGACCCGCCGGAGGAGGACTACTCGACGCAGCTGACGCAGGCTGAGGTGGAGAGCTGCATGAAGAAGTATGAGGTGAGCGGGGCGCGGGGACAGCACGGGGATGGCACGGGGACGGCATGGGGACGGTGCAGGGACAGCGCGGTGACGGCACGGGGACGGTCCCCGGCAGCCACCGCTTCCCCTGCCCACTGGTGACGCGTCCCTGTGCCCGTGCCCCCCAGGACACCTTCCAGGACTACCAGGAGATGTTCATCCAGTTCGGCTACGTGGTGCTCTTCTCGTCCGCCTTCCCGCTGGCCGCCATGTGCGCCCTGGTCAACAACGTCATCGAGATCCGCAGCGACGCCTTCAAGCTGTGCACGGGGCTGCAGCGCCCCTTCGGCCGCCGCGTCGAGAGCATCGGCCAGTGGCAGGTGGGTGCCCCCGGCCCGGCCCCGGCGCCCGCCCGCCYGCCGGGCCGCCCGCCGTCAGCGCTGCGCCCGTGTCTTGCAGAAGGTGATGGAGGCCATGGGCATCCTGGCCATCATGGTCAACTGCTACCTGATGGCGCAGTGCGGGCAGCTGCAGCGCCTCTTCCCCTGGCTCAGCCCCGAGGGGGCCATCGTGTCCGTGGTGGTGCTGGAGGTAGGACGGGCCACGCGCGGGCGGCCCCGGTCCCGTCCCGGGTGCCGGGGCCGCCGCTGACGCCGCTGCCCGCAGCACTTCGCGCTGCTGCTGAAATACGTCATCCAAGTGGCCATCCCCGACATCCCCGCCTGGGTGGCCGAGGAGATGGCCAAGCTGGAGTACCAGCGGCGCGAGGCCTTCAAGGTGGGTGCCGCGGGGCGCCGTCCCCGCCGCCGGCGCCGTGCCCGCGGCCCCGAGCCCAAGGCGCTCTCCCCCGGCAGAAGCACGAGCGGCAGGCRCAGCACCACTTCCAGCAGCAGCAGCGGCGCAAGCGCGAGGAGGAGGAGCGCCAGCGGCACGCCGAGCACCAGGCCCGCCGGGAGCGCGAGGGCGGCCGCGACGAGGCCCGGCCCGAGGCCGCCGCGCAGGAGCCGGCGCCCGACAAGAGCCAGGCCAAGGGCAAGGGCGGCGYGGCGGGCGCGCACGACAAGCCCAAGAGGCCCAGCTCGCTGCTGGCCACCAACAACGTGCTGAAGCTCAAGCAGATCATCCCGCTGCAGGGCAAGTTCCTGTCCGGCGGGGCCGGGGCGGCCGGCACCGCGGCGGCCAGGTCGCCCCAGTCCCCCACGGGCAGCGACAACAAACTGCCCGGCTTCCTCAGCTTCAAGTTCCTCAAGTCGCCCGAGACCAAGCGGGACGCGGCGAGCGAGAAGGTGCAGTCGCCCACCAAGCCCTTCAACCCCAGCAAGCTCTTCAACTTCGGCAAGTCGGACGGGGCCGGCGGCAACGGCGCCGCGGGCACCGCCTCGCCCCGGCCCGGGCCCTCGGCCGAGGCGGGCGACAGGGCGGCCGCCAGCAGGTCCCACCTCAACGGGGCCGCGGACGAGGGCGCCCGCGAGGAGCCGGAGCCGCGGGCCGAGGACGAGAGCGGCGCCCATAAACTCTGAGCGGGGACGCGGGCGAGCGCGGCGCCGCGGGCGCCTCTCCGAGCGGCCACGGACATGGAGACCCTTGCGGCTGCCTGTGCTGTTCCATGGGGACACAGAGCGGGGCTGCGGTGGGAGCTGGCACCCGTGGGCACCCTGCTCCTCGCGCTGTCCCCACGCCTCCCCACTGCTCCGGCATGGATGCGCCAGCAAAGCGCCCGTGCTCCGGGCGGCAGCGGCCGCCRTCCCGCTCGGAGGCGCCCAGGGAGCCGCGGGAAGCTCCGTGCCGGGAGAGCCGCCGCTCAGGAGCCGCGGGGCTGACGGAGGGAGCCGGGTTTGGTGCCGGCACGTCCCATCCAAGCGCACCTCCGGCCTCTCGGCCCCGCTCCCGCTTCTCCCCGCGCCGCTGCATCCTCCCCGGGGCCGGGGCTCCGACTTCTCCCTCCGCTCCCAGCGCCGGGCCCTGCCGCTGCCGCGGGGCGCGCCTGCATTTCCACGCATGGGCAACATTTCTTGCACTAAAAAACACGAAACCAACCCCAATGCGAGCGCCTCTTCTCCGTTCTTCACGTGACKGCTGCAAACCTCGTGCTGCTCTTCGATCCAAGGCGTTTCCCGCAGGGACGAGCCAGGCCGGGCGCTAGCGCTGGCCTTAGCGTTGGCCCTGGCACCCGACAGCCCTTGGGCATCGGGGCTCCATGGGGGCGAGGGGGGATCCGAGCAGCTCGGCCGCCGTTCCCAGGACATGGCTGGGAAGAGGGGAGCGTCGGGCTCCACGGTGCTGGGAATGAGGACAGGGAAGCCCAGGAAGGAGCGTCGGGCTCCACGGTGCTGGGGATGAAGCCTAGGAGGACCCAGCGGGAGCCACGCTGGGAACGGGCCACGGGAACAGCCCGATGCCAAGGAGGGCAGGAGGAGCCCCGAGCTCAGCCCAGCTCCGCAATTCCCATCCTTGCAGCGCCCAAGGGAGCCCTTGGAGCACCCACGAACCAGGAGCCTTCCACCCACCCGCTTGTGAAGCTCCCCTTGTCCCTGGGTTTGGCTCCGCCGACTCTTCCCTATTTCAACGCTGCTGCTCTTGCAGGGAGCTTCATTTATCCCCTTTTCCTCCCGAGAGCAACAGCCCCGATGGGCTCCGGCCCCCTCTTAAACCCTCCCCAGCGCAACCTTCGCTCCGCGCAGCCGCCTGCCCCCGGTCCTGTCTTGCAGGCACGCACTTAGCCTGGAGTTGGTCGGTTTGGGTTTTCTTTTGTTTTTGTTTTTTTWMTTCTCCTCCTGATTTTTGTTGCTTTTGCTTTCTCTGGGAATTCAACAAAGGGGGTTATTTATTTCCTTTTAATTTATTTTGTCATATTTTTGTAAGACCTGCAGAAATGCAATAAAATTCTATTTCAGCAAGTCTGAGAGGTGCTCATTTATCRGCCCCAGCGGCGCTCGTGGCACTTGTGTTAAGAGAAGGGGGTCTCCGTGTCCATATTCCCGAGGAAGCTGGATTGGGACATGGGACATTGCACAAAGCACCGACAAGTGCAASGGACTCCAAAAAACACTGGTATTCCTAGAGCAACCTAATTCCAAAATCATGCATGTGAGGAGTCTCATTTAGGGATTCTAGGGATTCTCATTCTAGGAAAGTTTTGCATTAAAAAAAAAAAAAAACATAACTCAGTGTTAAAGAGAATTTGAAAGCTGATAGTTTATTCCCATATTTCAGTTACAAAATTGCTCTTCCCCACCGAGTTTTTATTTTCAGTGTCCAGAATTTGTCTTTTCCCAGAAGTTGAAAGGAGAAAAGGGGATTCTAGCAGTGCTACTGTTTGTCTAAGGTCAAACCCCGAGGAGACGCACGACTTGCGCAGAAAACGCAGCTCGGGAGGCGCTTCGAGCACCTTCCCCCGCGGAGCCGCCGCGGCCGGGCTGGATGCGCCCATCAGCCTCGCGGGTCACCTGCRTTAGTCAGCCACCTGGCTGGGCTGCTTGCTCAGGTAATAACTACCCGTGAACACCACACGAGCTGAGAGGGACCCCCGGGCYGTTCTCTGCTGTCGGGACACGTTTATGAACCGGCAGAAGAGAAAACCCAATGCACGGCGAGCACAGCGTGGAGGTCACTCGGCTCGGACGCAGCCGCCCTTCCMGGCGCGCTGACCTCCACCTTCCCCCCAAAACACCCCCTGTTGCTCCCACGTGTGTCCAACCCTTCTTAAAAAAGGGTTTTCCCCCCATTTGTACATCAAGGGGTAAGGCAAAACCTGCCCCGGCTTCACGAGCTCCGYGCTCAATTCCCCGCTGCACAATTCCCCGCTGCCAGGCTGGCATCATTAACCTAGAAAAGCCAAAGAGCTTTCCTGTTATACAAGTGGAAAGCACAGAAACAGAAACAAAACGCGGTTAGCGGTATATAAACAACACAGGAAATGGTAAGTGATAATACAGCTGATAGCTACGGTCTTTAAAACAATGGTTTTTTAAAAAAAATCCAGACTTCTGCTTGGTCTTTGCCGTTAAGGCCAGTGTCAAGGCGCTCACCAGAAAAGTAAAAAAGAAAAGAGCTTTGAGATTATACTGACTATATCTGCCYAGTAAAAAGTGAAAGTATGGAGATAATGCCCAGCACATTCATCAATTTGCTGCAGAAACGGCCCAAACACTGACAGTGAATTGCTGCGTAAGGCACGTGCTGGGAGGGCCGGGGCGGCCGYGCTGCTCGCCGGCTCGGCACCGACTCGTGTCGTCCCACCGGGACGCGGGGAGCAGCGTGGGGAGCCGGGAACACAGCCGGGGCGGGCAGTCACTTCAGATTCACCACAAACCGGCTCCGAAAGAGCCCGACACTGTAAATACAGAGCGACGCGAGCTGGGAGCTGCTCGCCGCTGAACGCGACCGAGCGCCGCTTCACTAACTGCGGGCTTCTCCCCTGCCCTGCGGCTGCTTCGTGTCCTTTCCAGGCTAAGGAAACACCTAACAATCCCACACAACTAAGCAGTCCTAAATGCCTGTTTSCTGGCAGTGAAATGCACCTAAAAACTTCCCAAATAGTCCCATGGTTCCGAGTTAAACAAGGGGCAGCCTGGGATGCAGAGCCCATCTGTTCCCTGCAGCACGGTGCAGATGCAGGGCCCTTCCCTCCTCACGCCTGCAAACTCGGCGGTTTTGGGAAAAGGACTTCACAGCTTCACACAAAACCCAAGCTGCCAACCTCACCTTATCTTTCCTGCTGTGTTTACTGCCAGGGAATGCCGGCACGAAGGTGTTGGGAATCATCTGCAGCCCTGCCGGGGCCTCGACTTGCCAGCTCCCACAAACTCCCATGCACAGACACAGCCTGAAAGCTGGCGGTGCCAACGTTATCCCAGCACCTGGATAAAGCCAAGGAACTCCGCCGGCTTCGGGAGTCAGCCATCCACTCGGAAAGTAAACCCAGGCTTTACTGCTCACACACAATTACCTAGGAATTCACAGCTATGAAGTCARACACACTCTAAAAAGTTATCCTCTCTTTCAAACTCTTTCCTTCTCCAAATCTTTTGTGCAGGRAGGAGGTTTTTTGATTATTCTTCCTCTTGGAAAGAGAGAGAAAAAAAGAAGTCATAGGATATCAAGAAAGAAGCTAAGCAGAACTTTAGTTTTCCAGCAAGTCAGCCACAAGTAGATTTTTATGTCAGAAAAAGGCCGTGACTGACTCGGTAATATATTAAAGTTACCCAACACACACTAACTGCTCTCAGGGGGCACAAGCTCTTGGTGCTGTTTCAGATGCCTCCTAACAGGCTGGTCTGCTGCAAGGGGCCGTTCCTGGAAGGATTCACCTCCTCTGACAGCAAAGAAAGGCATTTCTGCTGCTTTGACTTCATCCGAAAAGATAACACTATTCAACTAAAATACTCATCTCTGACAAGCATYGCAAATTTTCATTAAAAAAACCTAAATCTTTAGTATACATCAGTAACAGAAACAATAAAAATACCACTATGCAGACATATACAAAAAACCCCTAAGGGTCACTAAATTTCAGTCACTTTGTAACAAGAGAATCAGAGGAGATAGGTATTATACAAACAGTGCGGTTAGGAAAGATGCACGTTTTGGGTTTTTTGTTTTGTTTCCTTTTTTAAAATGCACTAAGGCACCRGGAAGTCAGAGTTAGGCAAGTAGGAGCTTCCATGCAACATCCAAACCTGATGCACTTACCACGCGTTAAGGACTTGTGGAYAGAGGATCAAAGTGCAATAGCTGGAGGGCAGCTCTGGAGGCAGGAGCAGCGTGGAAAGGAGTTGGAGAAGGAAGGAGGGAAGGGGGGAGCCTTCACTTCAGGATGGGTAGAGTGGAAAAGGCTCCACTGTGGGCATCAGAAATCCAGAGGGTTTGCACACAGCCACCAATGCAAAATAAAACCAACACAGTTTCACACTCAGAGCTGCATCCCTCCAAAAACTTGTTTCGCCATCACTTCAGAACAACTTTTGGGAGAGGAAAATAAAACAAGCAACATTTTACCTTGTACCTACGAAAAATACTTGAAATGTATAAAGGCTCCTTTAACCAGTAAGATCGTTTTTAGAGACACAGAGGGAACAACGACGGGGATTTACAGCAGGAAGGAACGGCCAACTCTCTTTAATAGTACATCACTCTGTCTGGCAGAGAAGTCAGCAAAGCTCAAACCTTGCCATATAAATCAAGAATTATACAGCATTGTACAACTTGAAGCACTGTACAAACATTAGGCTGCTAGGCGGCAGCTCCAGCTTGGCTACACACACAGATTGGTCACACTTTACCACCAGCTCTACGTCCGTTGCCTCTTTTGGCAGCTTACAGCTCCTCGCAGGATTCTTCGATGTCAACTTGAAGCACATCCTTGGGAAGCTGGATGTGCTCGTGGCATCTTCACTTAACATCCTGCATTTCGCACAAAAGCACTTTTTGACAGTGTAACTTTGGGAGGAGGCCTCTTGCAAATGCCAGGAAACCACAAGGAAATCTCRGTATTTTTCTCTTCACCAACACAGTTGGCATCTTCAGCATCACCCCATTATTTTAAGGTTACTGCCACAGCAAAAAGGTATAACTTTACGAGGCAGGAGGAGGTCTAAACTATTCAGTGTTAACTTTAAGTTAAATTCACTTGCTATACGAGAAATTTGGTGCCTAATGATAGTTTAAAAAACACCAGGGGCTGTGCCCTGCTCTTCCCAAAGTTCTGCCTCATAACGTAGGCTGTTGACGACTGTATCTCCCTCCATATCATCTT